ACTCCTATCCTTCCTGACTGATATTTGTTATTTATTTTGTGTTACTGATGGATGACTCAAAGACAAACTCCTGTATATGTGAGGAAGAAGAAGAATCTCATGCAACTCCTGATTAATTGACTTGTATGTCTTTATAAGAAAATGAAGCAACAATGCAGATCCTTGTAACAACTCAAACACAAGAATTAGAGTTTCTCATGTCTGCCGTTCTCTTTGACGGGGAACTGTGTGGTGAGAATTCCTCACACAGTTCATTCTCTTTGACAAAAGTCCATTTTTCTTTTGTTCAGTTTTAATTAGTTCTGTTTTCTGAGTGGGATGCGGTTTGCATTTCTTCTCTGTGGGAAATAGTAGAACTTTGGTGGGTGTGAAATTACATTAGTTTTAGATTACTGGCCAGTTAAAATGAGCAAACAGCTGCAGGAGGAAAACTGTGAAACTTTGCAGCAACATTCTGAGATTCGGTGAAGCACATCCCTCTGTTCTTCATTGTGCTTTGGTTTTTAACCCAACTCCTCAAAGGATTGGATTTTCGATGCAAAGCCTCATTGAAATTAACCTATGCACCCCTCTTTAATATGATAAACCTGTTACTATCATTGCTACTGCCTCTCATCAGTGTAGAAATACTAATTAATATGAACCGTGAAGGTCCGTGAATTTGTAAACTTCAGATTGAGACAATTATCACATATTCACAAATCCACGAAACTAGTTTTGGATTATCATGACCTGGATGACTGAGAACCTTCACTAGCATATTCACACAGAACTTCCATATATTTCCTGCAGCCCCGGATCCAGTTCAGGATCATGGAAAACTGGGTTTCTATCTCCGACAGCCACGGGGCAAGAGGTGGGAGATATCTGGTCTCCAGTCCATCAAAGGGCCACATAAACAGCCACTGTGACGGCCAAATTAGAGTAGTAATGTGCATTCCCTTGTCCGCTGGAGGAAACAGGAGTACCTGAAGAAAACCCGCTTCCACAAAGAAACGTCACAAAATCCACTCAGAAACACCCCATTTGGGAGTTTTGTAACCTTCTTGCTTGGAAACATCAGTTAATTCAATCCATCCAGGAAAATCACACGCTCAGCTTGTAACAACGAAAAAAAGATTTTACAAGTCATCGATGTGAGAATGTGTTTCTGCATAGTAAAACATTAGAAATGTATCGTTTTTTTCTAAATTGTGAAACTCGGCTTGGTTTCTTGCAGACTTTCAGTGTCTTTTCCTGCCTCATATCATCAACAAAGAAACCTGGAGCATGACTTCCAGCAGCAAACCATCTGCATTACCTCATTATTGTTACTCCTGAAATTGTTGGGCCTGTTAAGTTGCTCTTAATCAAAACCATGGTTCATTAAATCAAGGAGCCTTTGAAAAGAAATCTACCAGGACTCCTTTGTCATGCCTGAACTTCCCCACCATGGAGGAGGAAGATGGATGGACGCCAGCAGTGGAATGGGGAAAGCTCTGCATGAACCTGAGGTCGACATTAACTAATGAAGACCTAATCAGCTCTGATTTATGAACCTGTGTAATATTGGTGATGGGGATGAATTAGCAGGAACGGGTGTTGTGAGACTGTCACTCATGTATAAAAGCTCATTGACTTGGTTGATTGCTCAGCTTTGTTTTTAATGAGTCTGGTGGCTAATATGCTATAGATTTAATTCAATTCAACTCAGTTTATTTATATAGCACCAAATTACAACAAGAGTCATCTCAAGGCACTTCACAAAGTAAAACATTCCAGCTGAGTTCAGTTCATTATGCCAATTAATCAAACTTTGCCTTTGAAAGGAACCCAGCAGATTGCATCGAGTCACTGACTGGTGTCAGAGTCTTTACAGCAATCCTCATACTAAGGAAGCATGCAGCGACAGTGGAGAGGAAAACTCCCTAACAGGAAGAACCCTGCAGAGGATCCTGGCTCAGTAGAAGCAGCCATCTACCATGACTCACTGGGGATTGACACCAATTATACTCTAAGCCGATATAGCTACAAGCTAACTGAGCAAATCCGGAGCTAACGGAGGTTTTAGCTCGAAAACCACATTTGCATGACTCTGACCATTCTAGGCTGTGATACTTTTATTGTGAGGCCTTCCTGCTTTGTCCACGGAAGGCCTCACAATAAAAGTATCAGAACCATAAGTGGTGAGAAAAACAGGGAGCTGGTGCCAAACTGTAGCAGTTATCGAATAAGAAGGGAGGACACCTGCTTCTGTTCTTCGTAGAGACACATAAACACTCACACCATAGGGTCACTAATTACCCTAACATGCATGTTTTTGGACAAATGCATGGGGAGAACATGCTAACCACACGCAAAAAGGCCACTGTCAAACCTGCAACCTTGCGAGGCAGCAGCGCTACCATGCAGCCTCTGTTGCATTTTGTAAACAGCTTTGATCACATGCATATGCCACACATTTATACAGCAACCAAACAGATTCACCAAACAGATAGCAAAACTTGCTCAGAGGAAAACAATCTCTGACCATTTTTGAAATTACCCTGCAACCATAACTACATAACTACTAAAACAGGAGTTTAATACAATAAATATGCAAATAACTGATATCTTCAGAGACCCGATCCACTTCTGATCACCATTTGCATCCATTCAAAATCTTCCCAGAGGGAGTCTGAATATGATAATCAAATTATGTAATAATGCTGTGCTTAACTGAGCAAATATCTGAAGGCTTCAGAGCATCACTTCCATTAAGCATTTCAAAATGCTTTACAAGAACCTAATTAGATTTACTGTAAACACGAATGCCAAAGCAGGAAAAACCACTACGACGTTTTCATACGGTCAAATGTTTGTAGAATAATGCCATCTGAAGGAGTTCAAAGGGAGAATCAGCTTTTAAATTGTATAGCAAGAAAAAAAACATACAAGAGAGACAGAAATGGCCTGTTTTGGAGCTTTTTGTTTGCTAAACAGGAGCAGCTGAGCTGAATCAGCTCGTAGCATCTCAAGTTGCACACTCGCACAAAAAGAAACACGGCTGACATCCACACCTCAGCTTCTCCTTAACTGTATCAACCTTTTGCAACACTGGATACAGTAAATAATATTCACCTGTCAAAGCACATGCAACATTCACATGGACATCACAGTGCCGGACCAACCAGAAGCTGATGGAGGTCAGCAGAATCACAGGAGGCGAGCCCAGCATTGTGTCTCAGCCAGGCAACAACTGGCTGAGCCAATACCGTACATGCGGACCCGATCCACACCGGCTAACCTCCGGGACAACATTTGGCTACACTTGCGAGACCCAGCTTGTGCCAGGACATTTGATCCTTGGACAGGATGAAGGGGTAAAATAAACACCAGTTCTCCATGAACATTAATCCACACAATCAAGAGGGCCAGATGAACAAGAATGATCAGAGAAGAATCATGAGGATTAAACCAGGATGACGCTCACATTTTGCCTCCTGAGCTGCAACATAAAGAAGCCGACAAATCTTCTTCCCTGAAAATTATGTAATAAAGATGGAATTGTGAGTGTAGGAAATATGGGGAAACAAATCTGATAGCTCAGCCCACAAACAACCGACCGATGAGCCAGTGTTGCTCCTGACAAGAAGCATCATTTAGAATTCCAAGTTATGGAACGCCAAAACTTTCAATTATTCATGCCACAAGCTTTTATCCAGAGGTCACATCAACAATGGGAAACAAGTAAAAGGGAATATTTTACTGGAAAAAAAATCATCATTCATTTACTAATCAATATGTAGCATGCATAAAATACATGCAAATGTGTTTTATTTCATGCCTGAATCCTTAGAAATTTCTAATGACTAAAGAGTTCTGAGCATTATTCAAGCCTAAATGTTTTATTTCATAACTGCATATTTGTATATTATTCAGTAACATTCCTCACATTTGTAACATAATTTCTTGTATTTTACATATTGTTAATGGAATGACAATAGTCACAAAATCTCAAGAATGCATTTGCTCGTTCGGTTTTGAACATGTTTTTCCACATCGATATGAGTGCATCTGCTCCAAACAGAGACCAATGTGTTTTTCATCCAGTGAACGTTCGCGATCACCAAATTAAAACTTAACAAATGACTGAGACAGAGCACTAACCTGGTTCTGATATCATCTTTGCATCAAAGTGAGCAACACGAATTTCATGCATGTAATGAGAAACATATAAAGGGTGGTAACTGAAACATGGATGGAACATGGAAAACATACAAAAGGGAACTGATAATAACTGCTCAATCAACATTTGAAAATAAAAACATCTGGAGGAACTTGTAGCAACATTTTGATGCACATCCAGTAAATACGCCTCCTTCAGCAACATGATAAAATATTAAATATTAGTAATAAAGCTCCAGAGTTTTGACTGAGGAGGAGTCTTTTATTACATAAGCAGTCGGTGACCTGAAGTCTCTCTGTTAACCAACAGCATTGTTTCATTCCAGACATCTCCAGCATTAGAGTGGCTTTATTGAGCCTCACAGATGACTGCTGTTTTGGATTATCAGCACGTGACATCAAACATAGTTAGAGAAGCTCTGCTGCAGCTCTCTGATTTGGAAACTCAACTGAGTCTTATTTGTCTCAACTAGATCCGGGTTTATACGAATTGAATCTACTGTTCAAAATATGACGTCAAATTGGGTGACGTCAAATTAACTAGTTTGCGTGAAATCTATCAATATTGTGTATTGTACTGCTTTATCTGTCCCTGTGTTGACTTGTCTCGTGTTTACATTAGTTTTGCACCTGGACGTACAAAAGGCACGCGGTAGTTTCAGTCTTTTGGGATAATTAGTTGACTTATTTTGGACAATCAGCAAATATTTAAAAAACGTGCTGAGCATAACATCTACACTTGTTTCGTGATATTTAAATGAATTAAAAAAAACAATTAAAACAGGCCCCTGACATGGGTGCACCTTGCTCACCTCAGTCCGTTAGTTCACGCAGGACAAGCAGCAGAGACTTACCTGTAAATGTCCCTGGTACATATTGAGCTCAGTCAGTCACGGATCCCTCCGTCTCCCGGTCTCTGCGCTTCTTCCAGACTTGAACCAGGCGGTGACAGAGCGTCAGACTGGAGCGGAAAGCAGAGTTTCTGGACAGGATGTCCGGAGAAGACAGAGCGGAGCTGTCCGCTGCTCTGTGGTGCTGATGAAGCAAGCGCTCATCCAGGATCTCTGAGCGCGGAGGACAGTGAGGCGCACCGGGAGCGCAGCTTCCTCGCTCACTGCCTGCTGCTGGGTGGTTCTCTGATGGAGAAGTGGTCGCCTTGCAGGAAAAAGAAGTGAGTCTTCATCTCCACAGCCTGACTCCCCCTCCCCCCTCTCCCATCGGAGTTTTTCGATTCTTTTCTCTGTTCATTCTCCTCTTGCGCTCATGCTTCCTGTTTGCCAACAGCCCTCTCTAACCAACCCCTCCGGTACCTCTTCCAGAGCTGACATGGTCACTCCACAAGGAGGCATTCAAGCACATTTCTCCCTCACTTCAGAGCAGGAAAAAAAAACACCGAACCTCACAGACGTGCACGTTTATTTATTCCACTAATTTGTCTTGATCAGAGCTGATATTTACTTTTAAATCTAAAATTATGATCTGCCTAAATCTATATTGCTACATTCTTCAGACTGTATGCCTGTGATTAATGCAAACTGGGATGTGAACAATTTAGCTGTTGTTCTTTGTCATTGCTAATTAGTGGAATGAACAATTACATAACCCAAATCATGCAAGACTTACTGTGGTTTCAAGGAAGCTAATTATGGATAAAAAATAGAACACAAATTACCCTACAGTGTGTATTTATAAAGAGAAGCTGGTTCTGCTGTAATTAGCTATGAGAGTGTCTCCTTTATGAACTTCTTCAGATAAGTATTGTCAGTAAAAAGGAAAACTCAGTTTATGTAAAACTCTACCAAACACAAAAAACGTGTAACGTTTACCTAATTTATTCATAAAAATTCAATTTGCGACCAGAGACAGGCTTTTCTGTTTATTTACAGCTAGTTTTTATCAACAGCTTCCACAAAAATAAAATATAAATTTACTACTGAACTGAGTTGTTTTGGTGTTTGTGCTTTTCAAAATAAAATACGAGGAATCAACTTGTTCAAGGGTGAAATTGTTATTATTTGTTCATTTGTTATTGTTATTATTGGTCAAATGCTAGGGGTTGTGCAGGTCCAGTGTGAAAAATATATTTAAAATTATTTAAAGCAGCAAATGGTACAAGGTCAAGTTTTAGGTAGCTATGCAAATTTAAAGGAGGCTCATAAATCATGTTTTGCTTAGAATTTTATAAATGAGCTGCACAGTGGCACAGTGGCTAGCTCTGTTGCCTTGCAGCAAAAAGAATCTGGGTTCAAATCCTGGCCTTGGGTCTTTCTGTGTGGAGTTTGCATGTTCTCCTTGTGCATGTATGGGTTCTCTCTGGGTACTCCAGCTTCCTCACATGGTCCAAAGATATGACTGTCCGGTTTACTGGCCTCTCTAAATTGTCCTTAGGTGTGTGTGTGCATGCATGGTTGTTTGTCCTGTGTGTCTCTGTGTTGCCCTGTGATGTACTGGCAATCTGTCCAAGGTGTACCCCGCCTGTTTGCCCAAAGACGCTGGAGAAGGGCACCAGTCCCCGGCGACTCTGCGTGGATAAGGGGGTATAAACAATGGATGGATGACTAATTTTATAAATCTGCAAAATTCATTAAACGTAGAAAGGATATTTAAATATTGAGTCTTTTGTAGTTTTTTTAAAGCAATTAGTTAAAAAGCTATGCATTTTAGAAACATGTCTTTAAGAAGGTAATTAATTTAGAAAAAAATACATGTTGCATTGATGACATCTATAAGCTGTTTTTATAGTGTTCTTTATATTATTGCAGATTTCTATAGAATATCAACAACATGTGTGAAGAGCTAAATAGAAATACAGCGTTTGTTGAAGCGACCCACACCTCTAACATGTTGTAATGTGTGGTAGAACACAGCAGTCCTTCGCTGTGTGAAGTGTTTTTATCTCCTTCATGTCTCACAGGTGAAATCAAATCTGGCCCCCAGGCTGAAGAATCTGCAGTATTATCACCACCTGGGGTTGACTTGACATTATTCACCAGGAATGCAATTCAAAAGGGTTGGAATTAAAAAAGGTTATTTATCAAACTAAAATAATTTTCTTTTATGTACACGATCTGTTTTCTGCACCCATGATCAACAACTTCATTACCCTCCTCACGTGACACACAGACATAACTGTGCTGGCCTCTGTCTGAATAGATTTTATCAGTCTGTGATTCTGCCTTTTTCATTCCCCCGTGGCCGTTAAACTGCTTGTTCACATGAACAAATGTGGCTTATGCTGTTAAGATTAAGGAGGGGCTGTAAAGATAGCAGTTTGTTTGGATTTAAGAGAAACACAAATCAAGTGTTGCTAAACGATGACAATAAGATCAGCTTTTGAATTTAAATGATAAATTGTCTGTATTTTTATAGCGCCGTATTGTTTTACAACCCCTCCAAGGCGGTTCACAACACATAGTTACCATTCACACACTGGTGAAGATAAACTACATTGTAGCCACAGTTGCTCTTGGTCGCACTGAAGGAAGCTAGGCTGCCAAACACTGCACCACTGGTCCCTCCAACAACCAGCAGGTAAGGTGGGTGGAGTCTCACATGTCAGTCAACATAATACATGTGACGACCCTAGCCAGTGAACAACTTTTGTTTTTGTGCATACATGTAGTTATCGTCCATTTATCGTTATCAAGGTGAACTCACTGTTATGTTAATTTTAGACCAGCCCTACCTTGAAGTGGATCTTAATGTTTTATTTTTGGGTTTGATGCCATTTGTAGGAGTGGCTTGATAATTTGGTTCTCTGCTAAATTCAGAATAAATTGATTTGTGCACAAAAATGTGAATTATCAAATCTTTTAATTTGATGTCAGACACCATCTGTTTGATAAGTTTGTTAGAGATGTGAGGTATCTGTCCATCCATCCCTTCCTCTCAAGAAATCCCTAGATCTCCTTCTTATCTATCTCATCCAAAGGGCCACTGAAGCATTCCCAGGTCAACTAAGAGATATAATGACTCCAGTTAGTCCTGGCTCTACCCAGATATCTTTTGCGGTGGGACATGTTCAAGCACCTCCCATAACAACTACTGACCTGTGGCTCTGACATACAGTATGTGGTCATGAAGTCATTTGAGCACCTGGATCTCCCCCACTTCAAGACCCTCACAGACCCCTCCTGGACCCTCTACAATTTGCCTACAGAGCCAACAGGTCTGTAGACGATTTTTTCATGATTATATTCTCTTACCTCCTATATTTGCATATTTTTTATTTTTATCTTTCTTTATTGCACCAAGTTCCATATCAATTTCCTAATGTTGTGATTTCTGGCACATATGGTAACATGTAGATTCTAACCAGAACACGCTCTTTTGGTAGTTTCGGAGTTGGTCACACTAATCCTCAACCCAGCTGCTTCATGATTGGTTGTAAATGGTTCAAGTCATGCTGGAGATTCTGGGTTAAAATGATAATTTTTGCAACATTAAGACAAAATATTGTTGTTTTTCTACACAAAACTCCAAACACCCCCTAACTGTGGTCCTAATATATATAGAATGTGTAATATCGAATGCTTCATCTAATAATTTCCTTAATGGCTTAGACTAATTATGAAAATTACTGTACCTTCCCACCAGCCTCAGTAGACCCTTATCGCAGCAGGAACATGCTGTTCTTTTTACTACTCCAGTCAGCTCTGATAATGGACCTGCTCCTCACAACAGGAGTGTTTCCAGGGTGAAACACAAACGTTATTAATACAACAAATAAGCGGCTTTGCTGTAAAAATGTACCGCTCCGTGTGTTTATCGCTAGCAAGCAAACTTCAGCACATGCATATTAAACTAATATAGAAAACATGAAACAATAAAGTCCCACTAGTTGTCACACTAGTGTGTGAAATTTGTTCTCCGCATTTGACCCATCCCCTGGTGAAGGGGTGAGCTGCAGACACAGCCACGCTCAGAAACAACTTCACGGTTTAACCCCCCCAATCGAACCCCTCAATGCTGAGTGTCAAGTGGGGAGGCATTGGGTCCCATTTTAGAGTCTTTGGTATGATCCAATCATGGATTTGAACGCACAATCTCCCAGTCTCAGCACAAACACTCATACCACTAGGCCACTGAGCTGGTTAATAATGCAGATTAAACCCCATTTTTAGTGTTTTCCATTAGCGTCATCATTTGGCTGAAAGCTGAACAGACCTGAAAGAGTTTGTTTGCATCCTTCAAGAAAATACAAATAAAAAATGAGGATTTTAATCTTTTTAAAGCCTCACACATTTATGATGCACTTTTCAATAGTTTCAAGTTTGAAAATTAATTATTCCTTAGTAAGATGGTTTCTGTGTGAAGCTTCTCTCCGTGCATGCAAGGTCTTCCTCAAGGTTCTGTAGCATTGTCCCATAGACCAAAAACACGAATGTTAGGTTAGTTTGTGATTTCAATCAATCAATCAATCAATCAATCAATCAATCAATCAATCAATCAATCAGATTTATTCATAAAGCGCTTTTCAAACAAAGTGCCTTACAAAATGACCCCAGATTCCCACAACAGGTTAAAAACATTAACAGACATATGCAAGCACACGCACATGCACGCACACACACACACACACACACACACACACACACACACACACACACACACACACACACACACACACACACACACACACACACACAAGAAAAAATTATATTTGACTGAGTCCAGATGAGCCAAGTAAGGTAAGGCAAGGAAACGCCATCAGAGGAGCCGTCTGCCCCGGCAGCATCGGGTCTTCCACACTAAGTCAGGGTGCTCAGTGGAGGGGGAGCATAGACCCCCACCTATAGAGCGCCCAGGAAGCTACAGTCGACCACCGCTCCCGGGGCAGAGGGCCCCTACAGAGGAAACACTGGATTAAAATGAGTAAAAATATAATAAAAGAGCTAATATAAGGGACAAAAGTTAGAAAATAAGTAATAAATAAAATCATATAAACAGTAAAATAATAATATTAAATAATAAAACTGTGCTAAAATATAATCATATAAAACCATGCAAAGCAAGTAATAAAATATTATCATGTAAAACGAGAAATTAAACTGTAGAAAATATTTAGATAAAAGCTAACCTAAAAAGATGGGTCTTGAGCCTGGACTTAAAAACATGAACGTTCTCTGCGGCCCTGAGGTCCTCTGGCAGCTCGTTCCAGAGGCGAGGGCCATAACACTGGAAGGACGCCTCGCCGTGAGTGTGTGTCCTGACTTTAGCGATGACCAGGAGATGCCTGCCAGAGGAGCGCAAAGGCCGTGAGGGTTCATATGGTAAAAGCAGTTCTGATAGATAAGAAGGCCCAAGACCGTTAAGACACTTAAAAACCATTAGAAGAACCTTAAAATGGATCCTGAAACATACGGGGAGCCAATGCAATGATTCTAAAACTGGTGTAATGTGCTCCCACCTCCTGGTCTTCATCAGGGCACGTGCTGCCAAATTTTGTAGAATTTGTAAGCCTGAGATGCTCTTTTTGGGAAGACCAGAAAGCAGGGCATTGCAGTAGTCTATCCTACTGGTGATAAAAGCATGCATCAGCATCTCCGTATTGGCCCGAGAGAGAATGGAGCAGACTCTGGCGATGTTCTTTAGATGATAAAAACCTTTTTTTGTGACATTTTTAATGTGTGGCATAAAAGTCAGCTCAGAGTCAAAAATCACACCCAGGTTCTTCACTTGTTCAGATGGATTAAAAGACAGAGATTGTAATTTCGGTAAAAGCTTCTCTCTCTCTGGGTCTCAGGACCAATGACTAAAACTTCAGTTTTGTCCTGGTTGAGCTGGAGAAAGTTCTCTGCCATCCAGGATTCAATGTCTAAAATACAGTTAAAAAGTGGATCCATTGACCG